ATAATTTATAATAAGTAATCATTTTAAAAATCTTGTTACAATTTGTTTCTAATAAGAAGCCTCGGTCTTATGCCCTTTAATCGAGTTCTTTTTTTATTTTAAGTAATATTTGTCAAAATGTATCAGGTAATATTGTGAATATTGATTTTTTGGAATTTATACAAATTTTCCCTTCCCAACATTTATGTTGCATTCACTATTTTTATGTCGTGTTCTATTATTTTGCCACTGACCGTTCGAACGAATAAATTTCGTTAATTTTCACCGGAAACGGATTTTCCCGCACGCATTTCCTACATTTCACACACAAATTACGGACGCTTCCGTGTGGCGCCGGAACTGCGCCAGGCGCACTCCGATTGTTCATCCGTCAGGCTCAGTGACTTACCTTGAAGAGCTGCTGAAGGTCCTTCCTTGGTCGTACGACGACGCACGGACGGGCGATCGATCCAGTGGGCCTGCTCTTCTCGGTGTCGAGGACGAATGCACTGAGCGCTAGGTGCTTCTTCAAAGTTCTTGCTCGTCGCGAACTACCGACAAACTTGAACTCGGAGCGAGAAAGGTACGGTTACAGAATTCGATATGCAGGTATAATAATCTGCGCTATCAGACTAATTGTTATTATCTAAGTATCTATGAAGCCGGTGGCGGGCGGTCGCGTCCTTGGCCTTCGGTCTGTTCACGGTCACTACCACGACAGAAATGCTCTTCAGCGAACAGTCCTTCTACTTTTCCTGTCTTCGGCTCCGCAAGAAGCTCTGGTGGGGGCCATAGCTGCCGCCGCCGCCTCAACGGCAGGTGGAAGCTCAAGAGGTCCAAGAAGTCGAGGACCATTATTGGACGGCGGCGGTGGTTCGCGAATAAACCCCGTTGTTCTTCTTCCACGGCCATACCGAATAACAGTCTCATGCGAATTTACCCAGTTGATCACTATTGATGTTGTAATCGCTAAACTCATTTAATTGAGTTCAAGTATCAACTATTTTTCTAAAAATCAAAGCAGCTTTTATATGTACCTTTCCTTTTCGAATTATTTAAGCTTTTATTATTTCAATTTATATAAATCCAAATGTGAAGTTAGTGTCTTTACCCATCGTTGGAGTCTCCAATACTAATTTTCAATTAATTAGTTTGTATCTATTTTATTATTGAATTATAATTACACTCAATGAATTGTTGTGGATTATTAAGGATAATATTTTCCCAAAAATCAAATTTTATGTTACATGTGTTAGTAATAGAATAATTTCTTTTTCGAATTATTTTCTATTAGTGTCGTTAGATATCTGTTAAATTGCATAATACTCGTCTACCAACAAATTGATTATGGAATTAAAGAACTGATTATGAATTGTACTCTTTTATTTTATAAGTTTTATGTCTTTTTTATGTCTATTTTGTACTAATTTTGCTCTTATATTTCATATATGTATAATGCTAAATAACGTCACATTTTCTTCCNATATTTAATCTACGCCGCTGATAGGAATACTGAAGAAAGAGGGCTGCAATCGTTATACCCAAAACTGCCTACTTTTGCCACTGCGCCTCCACGCCATTTTAAAATTTCCGCCAGCTTCCAGCGTCAGACCTGTACTTCTTGGGACAATGTCATCTATCTGTTGGGTTAGATGTTCAATCAACTTCAGTTTTTTAAATAAACACCCTGTATATTTTATTGTTTTCCATTGCCTACTTTGTCTTATTTATCATTGACTATTTGTATTACCAATGGTTTTAGGCGTGCGATACTGTTGAGCTTTTTGAAAGCGAATTTGACGAGCTATTCAAATATAATTGAAATATACAGGGTGTTTCATTTAAATAATTAGAGCATTGGTGACTTTGTCCAAGGAAGTATAGTCGTATCTTTGGATTTATGACTTGGGGCGTATTTTGTAATGCATTCTGATCACATTTCGTTAGTGTTCTTGGTCCTTGTTGTCTGCACGAGCCGCCGCTGATTGGACTAATGTTTTACAGCTATATACGAGGTGTACTGGTATCTGTGTGTTTTGTACAGATATAATAACTGTTTTGTAGTGTCTATTCTCGATGGGCGGAATTATTATTTAAATTAGATTGCAACGTGTTGGAGTGCATCTTGACGCATTAACTAACAGCATATCGATAAGGCCGCTGCTGGCGTTAATATGTTACAAAGTAATACGTTACGGGCTGGTAAAAACGACCTACGGTAAATAGAACGAGTGAACGATATGGCGATAGCGATGTGGTCATGTTCCCGAGGGAAACACCGGAAGGCATGAGTTTACATTCCCATGGAATGTTGCAGCAAACCAATCCATTTCATCGGTAGTCCATAAATTCCATTTCATTACGTGAAGAGTCTCAACCAATTCGCATATGTGAGTGAATGCGTCAAGACCACCCAGTGGGTTTATTGCAAATGTAGACTAATATTTATATGAATTGATGAAAAAAAATTAAAGTGCCTAATTGTTTTTAATTATGCCGTAGTAGTTGTCAACTTCTGCTAAAAACCGTGAAGTATCAGTTATTGACTCTCTGATAATCAGGGCAATGTAGTTAAGGATATCATTATAGAAATGCTGGATTAATAATTAAAAATCATAGGGAGCATTAGCGATTTTAAGTTTTGTTTAAAAATCAGGAACACCTTCCTAACCAAAAGTTAGGTATAACTTCAAACAGATTTGTTATTCGAAATGGACCTTCTGAGAATATTGCAGAAATGAGTAGGAGTATCTCTTAGTAGGATTTCAAGGAGACGTTTTTCGATGCAATTCCTAGTTTTTCCGCCAAGGGGGCGTCAAAGTTGACCATTATATTGATGCATTTTTTTTCAACGAACCAAAAGATGAGATTTTTGTGTGACTGTGAATTTTAATAAATAAAATTAAAACTAAAATACTGATACGCAAGGGAATAAAAAGTAAGGAAAGAACGAATATAAAGGTAGGAGACGAAATATTAGAAGAAGTGGCTGATTTTAGATATCTAGGAAGTCAGCTAAGTGAGGATGGAAGGAGTAGTAGGGATATAAATCAGAGGATAGCGTAGGGTCGTGTCGCCTTTAATAAAAAGAAGTCACTTCTATGCTCGCGTACGGTTAATTTAGAAATTCGAAAAAGGTTATTAAAGGTGTATGTTTGGAGCACGGCGTTGTACGGGTGCGAAACATGGACAGTGGGCGCGGCGGAAAAGAAAAGGTTAGAAGCGTTCGAAATGTGGTGTTATAGGCGGATGATGAGGATATCGTGGGTAGAAAAGGTTAGAAATGAAGAGGTATT